AGGGGGAGAGGAGGGAAGGAGGGAGGGGAATTTCTAAAAAAGTTTAAAAAAATCGGAGCGAAACTAGAGGGGCAGGCGACTGCCGGATCCGCGCGAAGCCGCGGGGAGAGCGCGGCCCCCACCCCCACCCCTTCCTTTCCTGCCTCCCCGGCCCGGCTTTCGCCCGCCTCTCAGCGCCGCCGGCTCTGGCGGCTCGGCCCGGGGACGCGATTCAACATGGTGTTGCTGCCGCGGGCGGGCGAGAGGAAAGGCGAGCGGACGGTGAGGGGTCGGGGTGGCTGGAGGCCCAGTAGTTTCGGCGGCCGCGGTGGCGGCGGCGGCGGCGGCGGGGCTAGGGCAGGCGGGGCTGGGGGTGGGGAGGGGGAGGTCTATGTGGTAGTTTGTGGAAAGCGGGGTGACAGCGTGTATTCCGGCCGCGGCTCCGCGGGGCCTTCGTACATTCACGCGCGGCGGCGGCCGGGGCGTCCTCAGGCAGAAGGCACCGGCGGCGCCCAAGCCTCTGTGCGCCGCCAGCCACCTTCCCTCCCCGCCAGCCTCCCTCTCTGCTGCCGCCAGTGCCGCCGCCACTGCCGGGTAGTCAGCGCCGCACAGCGACCCCCGAGGGCCGGCTGCGGCACTGCGCCTGTCTCCACACCGCCCCGGCAGCTCCTCGCGGGGAACAATAGACTCGGCTCGCCGGGCTTAGGGTTCATCTGCAATGTGCCGCACATTTCACACGCACACAAAGCCGGCGGAAAGGGGGGCGGCACGGGGAAACGGCCACTACCGGTTGTTCCAGGGTTAGGGGTGGAGGCGATGTTCGCGTCCCCGGCCCGGCTGTTGGAAGGGCCGCCTCGAAGTCCTCGCCCCGTGACAGAAGCGGTGCGGCGTTTCCGATGGAAAGGAAGCTCAAAGGGACTGTTCCTCACGCTGCGCAACATTCACACATTGGAATAAAGTCAATTTGTTACTTTTGAATCGGCTTTTCTGCGCCTTATGCTAGTATTTGAGGCCTGGTTAGCATATTTTTCATGAATTATCCACCAACTAACTTTAGCAAACTAAATTAAATACAATGTGAACTGTCCTATGGAAATAGAGTAAAGCTCTTAATTCATCTTGGCTTTTGGTTAGCTTCAAGTATCAAACTAGATTAGTCTACTATCAGAGTTATACAAATAGTAATTAGACTGGGTGGGAAGCAATCTTTTGAAATTTTATAATTAACACTCTTATTTTATATTAAGGTATCTTAAATATGCGTTTAAAATAAATACAGAATAAACTTGTTTTCCCTTGCCTGTCAAAAGACCTCAAATGCGATCCTTCTAAAAAACATTGAAGGTTTAAAAAGGACTTTAAATAGGCTCAAAACATCTCAACAAACACTACCACGTAAATCCGCGTTTACAAGGGGTGTTAAGAGTTGACTCTTTGCTGCTAACGTTAATTAAGCTTCACAGTACATGAAACGTATTCTTATTCCCATTTCAGTGATGACCACAACGGGCAAAGTTACCGACTAACCCAAAGTCACAGGGTAGTCGGGGTCTGGACGCGTTATTTCAGGTAGTCGTCCCAATGAAAAAAATTTGGTGGTGAAAAAAAATATATGTAATAAGTCCAGTACGTTTCCAGTGCTCACTCTAGGAAAGGGATTTATTTCCCAAGTAAAGTTTGTCTGTTAAATGGGGTCGGAATAAGGATGTGGCTAGAAAGATCCTGACACCCGAGGGCCAGTGAACGTCTCAGAAGCCTATGGGGGGCGGAGACCGGGCTAGGGGAGGTCGGGAAGCTGGGTCCGGGCCGGAGTGGGCGGGGGTGAAAGGGGGAAGAGACCGGGTGCTATTAGGGGTGGTGGAGAAGTGGGCCATAGAGCTGCGTGGCCTAGGCTGTGCGGATTCCCTAAACGCCGCACTTGCGCACAGCCCCTTACGTAACTGTCAGTGCCGGGGATTCCCTAGAGGGGGTCATTCTATTCAACCATTACACACACCCGGGGTTCGTCGCCGCCGCCGCCTCACAAAATGGCGGCGCCCATAGAGGAGACGTCGGCCGCCTCCTCCACCCCATTTTGTGGGAGGCGAGAGATCTGTCAACATGGAATACCTCCGCTGAAGAAGCGTCTGAGTTTGGAAATCTTGTTAAAGGGATGGAGCCAAGTGATCTCCTTCGTTGGGAAATATCAGCCACTTTTAACATCTCTTCGCTTTTTTTTTTTTTTTTTTTCCATTTTCCCGGGAAAGATGAGCCCGAAGAAACCAGGCTAAATGTAACTGAAAGGAGAAGGGCACGCTGCGGCTGTTCCGGGGACTGTGCCTCAGCATCTCTTGGTGATTTTGGTTGCTCATCCACGCTCCCCCGCAGCTCACTACGATCTCGCGAACGATGGTTCAGGCCTCACGGCCTGCTCCGAGGGAACCGGGACGGGGCGCACGCGGAGCGGGCAGCACCGGAGTCGGCCTCGCCACTTGTGCACCGAGACTTTATGGTAGTTGTTAAATGCCAGAAACCACGGCCCGATTGGTACTTCTCGTCTGAGTTATGGACCTTGGGAGCTCCGGAAGCTGCTGCCCCGGGAACTCGTAGTTGCGCCTGGGAGTCTGGGAACCCGGTTGCCCGCGGCGGAGGGTCCTCGCGGATTCTGGCCACACCGGCGCACCCAGTGATCGCCGCCGGACCTGGTGCCGGGGTGGTGCTAATAGGGCAGGAGTGGGAACGAAGGCACGTACATTGTAATTTAAATCCTCCAAATCAAGCCCTAGGATTGTATGTTAACAGTGTCTCAGGTTAAAACTCTTGCAGTAATCTACAGTGGGCAAAGCTAGTTAGTTGTCTTTATTTCCAATTCGAAGGGCAGATGGAAGGGTGACATTTTATATTTTTACTTTTCAAGAGGAGGTCGGCAGTTAACAAGCCACTAACTGCTCCCTGTGTGTATACATACACACATGTGTGTACAATAGTGCTTATTGTTTTTCATCGCCAAGTATCAAAGGCTAAAGACTTAGAGTGATACTAACGTTTTAATGTCCTTTTTAAAGAATAAGATATGATATAAAATAGACAATTGACTGTTTTTAAAAATGTCGTTTTCTGCAGAAGAGATTGTCATCTTAGTAATGGAGTCCTAAAGTACATTTGATGAATAGAACATGCTCTAGTCAAAGTAAAAACATAAACATAATATTCTTTATTAGATTATTGCATAGTTCTAGTTCCCAGTTGATTAGAAAAATGTGAGACGAAAGTACGCTATTAAAGGTTTTTGCTTGTAAGAGTAATGTAAAGATTTAAGGAGACGAGATTCATCTGATGAAGCTTACATATGCATTACATGAATAATGAGTTTTCAATTGTTTTCCAGCTGCAGTAATCATGTCCCCCCCCGTTTTTGGTTGAGGTTTTGGTTTTTTGTTAATTTTTATTTACATACCTCCTCTCTAGTGCAGAACTGCAGCTTTCCGCAGGCAGCATCTCAAGTCTGTGAATTCCACGCCCCATCCCCTACCTCACCCCTTTGCCATTCCTGGAGAGTGGATCACCAAGATACAGTTTCTCGTCTTATGTGTTCCTGCTAATGTTTTTTATATTTACCAAATTTGGTTAGCACCCATCAGTCTTTATTTCTTGTAAGAACACCCTATCTCAGCATCCAAGGAGCCAGATCTTTTTTTTTTTTTTTTTTTTAAATGAGATTGCGCTAATAGTAACCCTGGCGCATAGTATTTCATTTCTTAGCACCATGTTACATTTCCTATAGTGGGCAGCATAGAGCAAGTGGATCCTGGAAAAGAAATGTTAGAGATGTGCTGACAGTTTTACAACAATAGGTATTCTCCAACTAATTTGATAAGGTAAAAAATAAAATGTAGCTCACTTTTCAAGCATTAGTGGAAACACTTCCTATAAAAGAATTACCAATAGCATAATTTACCATTATGATGAAAAGTTATGAGAAAGCCTTTTGATGGGAAAAAGCATTTTTATGTGAAAAATGCAAGGCTTATTACTAACTGCAAACCCTACATACCATAATTAGAGGTTTCTGTTATTTTGTATCAATCTTTGATTCTTACCATCAGTGTTAGTGTTAGTTAATCAAGAAGTTGTAGTTGTTAAAAATACCCTCATTTAACTAATAAGAAAACTATAACCAGTATCAAGTATATCAGATTAAGATCACAACAGCTGGAATCACTTAATTGAAGAACTGGCATGTCAATTCATTACAGACATTTTTGGATTTTAGGTTACTCTAAGGTTAAAAGATTGATTTTATAAGATTGTAGACTCTAAGTTTATATTTCATTAAAGGTGACCTTATTATGAAAGGAAATGTTGGTAAAACATGAGACTGCTTTCACGGCTTCCTGCCTGTGCTTTTGTATTCTGCTGTACTTTTTTATGTGAGCTAACTTGTCATGTTTGAAAATATGATTAAAATATCAACTCACAGTTGAGGCCTTTCCATTCTGAGGATAATTTTAAGGAAGATCAGTAACTAAGCTTTTAAAAGGTGAGGAAGTAGCTTATTTCTGCAGAAGATTAGGGTAATTGTAATGCAGATGCTCTGAATTTGCAGTAGACAGATTTCTGAATGATTTGGCTCAAAAGAGTCTGATAAGCTTTTGGGCATTGTCTTTTTATGAGTTTCTTTTCAATAGGACATTATGAGTAGAGATTGAGTCTGTGGCAATGGTTTTGGTCTTGGTTTTTCAATGGATATTAGACAATATGCTTTGCACATCT